CCCCCCTAATGAGAGCAGTGTCTGAATTAATTTGTTGTGGCAGAGAGGAGGAAGTAGAACCCTTCAGGGATTTGACAGTTTTCCAGAATTTAGCCGGGTTCCCATTACAATCAGAAAGAGCGGTTGGATAAAAATCAATTGAGCCTTTCTTATTTGTCTTACACAACAATTCCTCAGTTGCTTAAAAGCTTGCCAGTCTGGGCCTAAGCCTGTGTTCCTGGCCTTGACGGAAGCATCATCTCTTTCATGAATGACTTCTGACAATTCCGGAGTGTACCAGCCATTCGATCTATCTTTAACTCTTAATTTTTTGAAGGGAGCATGATTATCCACAATAGTATTGAAGACATATGCAAAGAGGCTCAAAGCTAAATCAGGTTCAGGGAAATACAATTAAAATAAAGATCATGTAAAAAAGCCTGTTCACTGAAGTTTTTTAAGTTCCTCTTTGTGATGACCCGAGGCTTAGATTTTTGTATTCCAACACAAACCACTGGGCAATAGTCACTAATATCTTGGGCGAAGACACCAGTAGAAACATATTTCTCTGGTGTATTCATTAAAATAAGACCAATCAGAGTTGACTTTAAAGGATCTTTAGGGTTGGGCCGTGTAGGCCTAGTCACCAGCTGGGTAAGGTTTAGATCATTACACGTCTTTTAGATTGTCTGAAGCCTGCATTTCCCAATCATAATTTAGGTCACCCAGGATAATAACTTCTGATTTAGTAAAAGAAGACAACAAATGAGTTAACTCCTCGAGTGCACAAAGGTTAGCCGATGGAGGACGGTAGACCACTATAACAGTTATGGATACATTTTTCCCCAGACAAAGGCTTTAAGATAGTAGCTCAAATTTTTGGGATAGGGATATGGATTTCAGTAAAGAGACAGATAAATTATTTTTTATAAAAATGGCCACTCCACCACCTCTACTCTGTCTGTCAGATCTGAACACATTATGACCCTCAAAATTAATATCAGAGTCCAGAACGTCCCCAGAGATCCAAGTTTCAGTCAATACCAGAATGTCCAGTTTCATTTGCATAGGCCAAATCTTGATGTAATCCAGTTTAGGAAGTAAGCTCCTAATGTTCAGATGCATCAACCCAAGTCCTTTATGATTTTTAAAGTCACATGAAGTCTCCAACTCAAACAAGCTACGTTCAATAGGCAGTTGCAGGCCCTGTCTGATGGGTGATATTGATATAGTTGGTATGGCTAGAAGATTGCATAGAACTGCACCTTTTGGTCTATCCCTTTTAGTAATAGAGGAAGGAGTAGAAATTTGAATTACTTTTCCAAGGTTAGCACCATAGAGCCTGAGGCTGCAGCCGATGTCAATATGGGGAACTCTCAGAGTAACCAGTGATGGAATGTTATAAACTGACTTACATAGGCTTCGGTTGCTATCGTGCAACAGCCCAAGCCCTCTACAGTGGGGAGAACAAGTATTTGATACACTGCCGATTTTGCAGGTTTTCCTACTTACAAAACATGTAGATGTCTGTAATTTTTAGCATAGGTACACTTCAACTGTGAGAGACGGAATCTAAAACAATCAATCAAACAGACTCCAACCTCTCCACAATGACCAAGACCAGAGAGCTGTGTAAGGACATCAGGGATAAAATTGTAGACCTGCACAAGTCTGGGATGGGCTACAGGACAATAGGCAAGCAGCTTGGTGAGAAGGCAACAACTGTTGGCACAATTATTAGAAAATGGAAGAAGTTCAAGATGACGGTCAATCATCCTCGGTCTGGGGCTCCATGCAAGATCTCACTTCGTGGGGGCATCAATGATCATGAGGAAGGTGAGGGATCAGCCCAGAACTACACGGCAGGACCTGGTCAATGACCTGAAGAGAGCTGGGGCCACAGTCTCAAAGAAAACCATTAGTAACACACTACGCCGTCATGGATTAAAATCCTGCAGCGCACGCAAGGTCCCCCTGCTCAAGCCAGCGCATTTCCAGGGCCATCTGAAGTTTGCCAATGACCATCTGGATGATCCAGAGGAGGAATGGGAGAAGGTCATGTGGTCTGATGAGACAGAAATAGAGCTTTTTGGTCTAAACTCCACTCGCCGTGTTTGGAGGAAGAAGAAGGATGAGTACAATCCCAAGAACACCATCCCAACCGTGAAGCATGGAGGTGGAAACATCATTCTTTGGGGATGCTTTTCTGCAAAGGGGACAGGACGACTGCACCGTATTGAGGGGAGGATGGATGGGGCCATGTATCACGAGATCTTGGCCAACCACCTCCTTCCCTCAGTAAGAGCATTGAAGATGGGTCGTGGCTGGGAAACACACAGCCAGGGCAACTAAGGAGTGGCTCCGTAAGAAGCATCTCAAGGTCCTGGAGTGGCCTAGCCAGTCTCCAGACCTGAACCCAATAGAAAATCTTTGGAGGGAGCTGAAAGTCTGTATTGCCCAGCGACAGCCCCGAAACCTGAAGGATCTGGAGAAGGTCTGTATGGAGGAGTGGGCCAAAATCCCTGCTGCAGTGTGTGCATACCTGGTCAAGACCTACAGGAAACATATGATCTCTGTAATTGCAAACAAAGGTTTCTGTACCAAATATTAAGTTCTGCTTTTCTGATGTATCAAATACTTATGTCATGCAATAAAATGCAAATGAATTACTTAAAAATCATACAATGTGATTTTCTGGATTTATGTTTTAGATTCCGTCTCTCACAGTTGAAGTGTACCTATGATAAAAATTACAGACCTCTACATGCTTTGTAAGTAGGAAAACCTGCAAAATCGGCAGTGTATCAAATACTTGTTCTCCCCACTGTATGTGATTTGAAAACCGAGGGGGTATTCAAGTTTATGAAATTCACATTTGAACTAATAGAGGCATAGGACCGCGGCGGCACTGTTCAGTGGCCATGGTGCTGATTCGGCATTCGGCCTTATCTAGGCGCTGTACATGGTGGTTAATGTTTGTACGCAGGGCACAACCATAGAGATCCTATTACATTACTAGAGGGGCTATGTCATGAACCCTCAAAGTTCCGGAATGGTATGATAATGGCAGCCATTTTGGTCAGGGAGAAATCCAAACCAGACTAAGAATGTCTTAACTCTTTTGTCTTGCCCATTCACCCTCTGAATGGCACACAGACACAATCCATGTCTTAATTGTCTCAAGGCTTAAAAATCCTTCTTTAACCTGCCTCCTCCCCTTCATCTACACTGATTTGAAGTGGATTTAACAAGTGACATCAATAAGGGATCATAGCTTTCATCTGGATTCACCTGGTCAGTCTGTCATAGAAAGAGCAGGTGTTTTCAATGTTTTGTGCAGTCAGTATATAAGTAAGGCATGTGATATATCAGAAATTGTGTAATATAATTATTGTCAACCTAAAATATTCTCATATAATAAAAAATACAGTTTATACAGGCTTTATACAAATGTTCTGTATAAATAGCCTCTAAAATATATGTAAACAGACCATAAATGTCTCAATGTTTGTTTTCTTGGAAAGCTGTGAGTGTTATTATATGATACAATATCAGTACTTGTTGCATTTACAACTTGTTTAAGTCCTATCATCTACTGATTTCAGCCAGAGTACGGCTGTGGATTGACTGCATTGTTTGAATGGAATGTTGACATATTGGCTGTTAAATTGAAAAATGTATGGAATCATTCTACAAAAACTGACTGGCTACCTGCATAGTATGTTTATTAGCTAGCTAATCTTCACATTCATTGTTTTACACAAAATCTTATCACAGCACTGGCTGACCATGGTTAACCAACTCCCTGACCAAAATGGCTGACCTTTTATACTGTCATAAGAACATTCATGTCCATTCTAGTATTCTAATTCCTAATTCTATGGACACAACAAGGGATTCCCGCATGGGGAATTTACGTTTGCCGCATAGTGGCGCTCTGATGTTGGTACGTAGCATTGACTGTATATGAATGTGCGTAGGCTAGTGATGGTTGGTGCAATTTGTGTACTAATTTCTTGGCCGTCTGCCTCTGGTCTATAGGCTTTCCTCTGTAATGCTCTCTGTGAACTTCAGCACACCCACTCAGCCTCATTCTCTCACCCTGAACTTATCAGCACACCTTTCATGGTTAGAAAGATACTAGTCCCTAGGGGCTATGCGTTTTTGGATAGGTTCCCCTATAGTGTTTTAAAGATTAATTATTTTCGACACCTCTCTTTCTCCTCTCTCTACCTATGACTCCCCTCTCTCTCCCCCTCCCTCTGTCCCCCTCCCTCTCCCCCTCTCTCCACCCTCTCTCTCCCTGGCTTTCTTGTAGGGAGCCCAAACAGTGTCAGAGGTAAGGAGCTCATAGCGCTGCTGGCCTGATCTAGCCTGTAAGACCTTGAACACAACACATCTCATATAGAACACAGCCTGTGTGTGTGCTGATAGATGCCCTGCCCTGACTCTCTTTGGTGCGCTGTAGTACGTAGTGAATAATGGGATTGGTAGTGATAATGGTAGTGATAGTGGTATTGGTAGTGGTGGTAGTGGTATTGGTAGTGATAGTGGTATTGGTAGTGGTGGTAGTGATAGTGGTATTGGTAGTGATAATGATATTGGTAGTGGTGATAGTGGTAGTGATAGTGGTAGTGGCGGTAGCGATAATGATAATGGTAGTGGTATTGGTAGTGATAATGATAATGGTAGTGATAATGGTAGTGATAATGGTAGTGGTATTGGTAGTGATTGTGGTATTGGTTGGGGTAGTGATAGTGATAGTGGTATTGGTAGGGGTAGTGATAATGATAATGGTAGTGGTAGTGGTATTGGTAGGGATTGTGGTAGAGGTAGTGATAGTGGTATTGGTAGGGGTAGTGATAATGATAATGGTAGTGATAATGATAGTGATAATGATAGTGGTTGTGGTAGTGGTATTGGTAGTGATTGTGGTATTGGTAGTGGTAGTGATAATGATAATGGTAGTGGTATTGGTAGTGATTGTGGTATTGGTATTGGTAGTGGTAATGGTAGTGGTATTGGTAGTGATTGTGGTATTGGTATTGGTAGTGGTAATGATAATGGTAGTGGTATTGGTAGTGATTGTGGTATTGGTAGTGGTAGTGATAATGATAATGGTAGTGGTATTGGTAGTGATTGTGGTATTGGTAGTGGTAGTGATAATGATAATGGTAGTGGTAGTAATAGTCCTGACTACAGATTAGTCTGCTTTGTCCCAACCCTCTACTCCTCCCTATTAGGGCAGAGATCTAGAGTTCAGCTGTCAGACTCCTCTGGATGTGCTCTGGTCTGATTGGGTGGCTCCTCTGTTGCCCAGCTGCTGATTGGCCTGTCCGAACACGTCGATTTAACCTCACCAACAACACCCCGACAACTACCAATACCACCAGTTAGTACCAGAGCACCCAGACCTAGTTAGAGCCAGCCAGTCAGATCCAAACAGAGAAACCTGAACCTCAAACAGCCACGTTCCTTCTGCAGAACCCCCAGTCCTCCTTTCACACTGTGGCCCAGGGCAGGGCTGGATTTAGCCTTTGGGGGTGGGGCCATTGGACTTGTATTTCCTGTGTGTGTGTTACTCTCTCTCTGCAGGGGGCCAGGATGGTGGTGTCCACACGCTCCATCGCTGACTTCACCCCACAGGCCAGCTTTCACATCAAGGTGAGTCCACATACACACACGTGCATTTGTTTTGACATTTAATGAATAGACTTCTCCTAGACATGTATGTTCTACACAACACACTTCTATCACACCAACAAGCCCTAGATACAGTATGAAATGGGAACTTCCTCATCAAACTGTTATCTGATTGGTTGGCTGAGCTGCCTGTCTCCCTCCCTTCCCTGTGCTGTCCAATAGAAGTGTGAGCTGCACCGTCTGGAGGAGGGCCCCTCTGAGACGGCGGTGTTGACCAGAGAACAGGGCCTCCAGTACTACAGGACCATGCAGACCATGAGACGCATGGAGCTGAAGGCTGACCAGCTTTACAAGCAGAAGATCATCAGAGGCTTCTGCCACCTCTACGACGGACAGGTCACAACACACACACACATAAACACACAGCAAGAGAGACAGGAACACACACACACACATAAACACACAGCAAGAGAGACGGGAACACACACACTCCCCTCCTCTCTCCTAGCTGTTGGTTGTGTTACAGGAGGCATGTGCGATGGGCATCGAGGCGGGCATCAACCCAACAGACCACCTGATCACAGCGTACCGTGCCCACGGCTACACCTTCACACGGGGTGTGTCCGTTAGAGAGATCATGGCTGAACTCACAGGTGAGACACACCTATAAACTGATCGAAGGTCAGATTTGTAATTCCCCTAATGGTTACAGTCAGGATTTAAGGAAGATAAACTGATCCTTCTACCTGAAATACATCTCTAATCTCTCTCTCTGTTCTATCTCTCTCCCTCGCTCTCTCTGTCTCTCTCGCTCTCTCTCTCTCTTTCTCTCCCTTTCTCTCCCCCATTCTCAGGTCGTAGAGGGGGTGTGGCCAAAGGTAAAGGTGGTTCTATGCACATGTACGCTAAACACTTCTATGGAGGGAATGGAATCGTTGGGGCTCAGGTAACACTCTGAACAGGTCACTCACTCACTCACTCACACACACACACACACACACACCTAGACCGAGAGGGGAAGATGAGACACACACACCCATGCATTCTCGCAGTGTGTGTGTGTGTCTACAGGTTCCATTAGGGGCAGGAGTGGCCCTAGCCTGCCAGTACCAGGGCAACAACCAGGTGTGCGTGGCGCTGTATGGAGACGGAGCAGCCAACCAGGTGAGCTCTATCTATCTAACGGTTACAATGAAGTTATTCAATCAGCATCATCATCGTCTCTCCTCTTGTCCAATCAGGGCCAGATCTTTGAGTCGTTCAACATGGCGGCTCTGTGGAAGCTGCCGTGTATCTTCATCTGTGAGAACAACAAGTTCGGCATGGGGACGTCTGTAGAGAGGTCCTCCGCTAGCACTGAGTACTTCAAGAGAGGAGACTATATACCTGGAATCAAGGTAGGACACACACACACAGTCAGTGAGTGTATCTTTGCTATATTGACCCCTATGTCCCTGTGGTGTAGGTGGATGGCATGGACGTGCTGTGTGTGAGGGAGGCCATCAAGTTCGCTGCAGACCACTGCAGAGCCGGGAAGGTGAGCTATGATTGGTTGTAGAGCTGGAGAAGAGTTCTGATTGGTGCAGAGATGAAAAAGTTATAGCTGGTTTAAGAGCTTAAAGAGTGTTAAGAATCACTTTGTCAAAGGGCTGATCATATTCTAGTATCACACCTGTGTCTGTTTCCTGACAGAGGGAGGTTCAGTGACCAGCAGAATAGAGACGCTAGTACAGAGTTGTAACTGGTCCCACACTCCTGGTGTGCTGCAGGGCCAAACAGCATAGATATAGGAAGAAACCTCTGCTCCAATAGAAATCCCTGATCAGGCTATTCAGCAGTGTCATGGTGGGGTTGGCTAGCTTGTTGAGTGTCTTGCTTTTGAAACCTCTCTGGCAGGGTCCTATTGTGATGGAGCTGGAGACCTACCGTTACCATGGACATAGCATGAGCGACCCCGGGGTTAGGTGAGACATGATCTCTGACCCCTGACAATGTGTTTGTCAACTGAACACCCTGTCTCTCTCCGCCCCCTCACTCCTCACCACATCTCCCATCGCTCTCTCTCTCACTCTCTCTATTCTGTTTTTAGCCCCGCCCATTTCCTTGTGTTGCCACTCCCTAGTTTAGCCTGTGGTTGCAGAGCTCGTCCAAAGGCGGCTCAGGGTCAGAGATGGCAAACTGGGCCGCGTCCTCGATCACCTTCCTGCTCTCTACATCTATCTCTACACCTATCTCTACACCTATCTCTACACCTATCTCTACACCTATCTCTACACCTATCTCTACAGCTATCTCTACAGCTATCTCTACACCTATCTCTACACCTATCTCTACACCTATCTCTACACCTATCTCTACACCTATCTCTACACCTATCTCTACAGCTATCTCTACAGCTATCTCTACACCTATCTCTACACCTATCTCTACACCTATCTCTACACCTATCTCTACACCTATCTCTACAGCTATCTCTACAGCTATCTCTACAGCTATATCTACACCTATCTCTACATCTATCTCTACACCTATCTCTAGCAGGGAGGGAGGACACACACACACACACACACACGGTCCAATTAGATTTTAGATTTAGATTTTAGTCATTTAGCAGACGCTCTTATCCAGATCGACTTACAGTTAGTGAGTGCATACAGGTCTCTCTCTCTCTCTCTCTCTCTCTCTCTCTCTCTCTCACTCTCTCTTTCTCTCTCTGTTTCTCTCTCTCTGTCTCTCTTTCTTTCTGTCTGTCTCTCTCATCAACCAAGGGCTGGTGCGGAACCTTGCTAATCATGTCTAACTCCTCTTCCTGTGTGTGATGTAACTTCCTGTAGCTACCGTTCACGTGAGGAGATCCAGGAAGTGCGCAGTAAGAGTGACCCCATCACCATGCTGAAGGAACGCATGCTGTCCAACAACATGGCTTGTGTGGAGGAGATCAAGGTACACACACCTTCACCGACACGCATCCACACACACACACATGCACGCACGCACGCTCACACACACACACGGTCCAATTACTCAAATGATTTCCCTCCTTGCCACCTTCTCTCTGTCCTCCCTCCCTACAGGAGATAGATGTAGAGATCAGGAAGGTGATCGAGGACGCGGCCCAGTTTGCCATCTCTGACCCTGAGCCGCCATTGGACGAGCTCTGCAACCACATCTTTGCCAACGATCTACCCATGGAGGTCCGCGGGACCAACCCCTGGGTCAAACTGAAGTCTGTCAGCTAGACACACACACCTGGACCATCCCCTCCTACCCTCTGCAACACCAACCCCTGGGTCAAACTGAAGTCTGTCAGCTAGACACACACAAACCAAACTACTGTACAGTCTATTAGCTAGACACACACACCTGGACCAAACTACAGTCCAACAGCTACACATCCCCTCCGACCCTCTGCGACACCAATGCCTGGGTGAAAGTCTACTCCCTCTCCTCCTTCTCCCTTCTCTCATTCCTTCCTTAGTTGTCTCTAAACGCACAATATGAGAGGAGGTCATGACCCTGTAGGTCAGTGTTCAGTCTGTAGCAGCATTCCAAACCAGTCTGTCACCTCTGACCCTCTGATGTCACTGGTATTTATTGACAATATGTACTGTAAAGAGTATACTATGTAGTTTTATATTGATGTGTTCTCCTGATACTGAGGGACTGTAGATTGGAGGTGTATGGCTTAGGGCAGGCTGTTGTTCCAGCCTAGCACTAACACACCTGATTCAATCAGTCACCAATACATTAATTAGCTGGAACTAGTGTGTTAATGCTGATACTGACAAAGCTTGCACACCCTAGAACTCTCCAGAACCAGGGTTGGCCACCCCAGACTAAGGGAGTGTGTGTGGGGGTGGTTTTGGGTTAAACCAAGTCCATCTCTGTTTCTAATGCTCCCATCTGTTAATGTATGACCTCTGACCCAGATGTTATTAAAGCACCGTAGCACTCGTTGCACTTTGATAGATAAACTAATGAGACACCAGGCTGCAAGTCATTATTTTATCATAGGAAAAGACAAGCAATGGTAGTTCCTTTCTCTGACCTCCTCCTTTCTCCCTCTCCTTCTTGTCCTCTCTGCCTCCCTCCCTCCCCCCTCTCTCCGTGAGGAGCGGATACCGATCCAGGCCCTGATAAACTGAAGAGGAACATCTGTGAGAACTAAATGAGTGAACGATTATAATACTGTTTGTTGTGATTTGATTGAAGCAATAAAATTGGCTGAGACTGTATGATGTGTTGTTTGTGTCTGATGGGCGGCAGGTAGCTTAGTGGGTAAGAGCGTTGTGCCAGTAACCGAAAGGTCGCTGGTTCAAATCCCCGAGCCAACTAGGTGAAAAATCTGTCGATGTGCCCTTAAGCAAGGCACTTAACCCTAATTGCTCATGTAAGTCGCTCTGGATAAGAGCGTCTGCTAAATGACGTAAAAATAAAATAAAAAATTATGACACTGGAGAGTTCTGTGTGCAGACAGCTAATAATGTACCATACCAGTTAGGTGTTAATTACTTAGATGGAGCCATCTTGCTTCCACCTATCCAGTTCTTTCACTCCATGAATATAATGGTCCTTTCAAGACAACTGGGAACTCTGAAAGAAACTAGGCCAAATCTTCAGGCTAGAAAGATGCCAGAGTTTCCGACTTGGAATTCCGAGTTGGATGACTGTTCAAAACGATTTTCCCAGTCGGAGCTCGGTTTTTTCCCAGAGTTCCCAGTTCTCTTTAATGCACTGAAGTCAGACTTCTGAGATTTCTGAGTTCCCAGTTGTTTTGATCACAGTGTAAGATGTAATCAACCAGCAGATGTCACCACAGTGTTGTACGTCGACCACCAGCTCTGTACAGTAAGTCTATATCTGATAGAAGACAAGAGATTAATATTCTGTCACCAAGTTCAGTATAAATATATCTGGTGAAGTTGGGCTGTAACGATACTGTTCCTGCCCATCTTCAGTCACACTCACACACCTCTTCAATCACACACACACACACACACATCTTCAGTCACCACACACACACCTCTTTAGTCACAGATAATGACTCTGTGTCAGTTCATGGTTCTCATTATCCATGGCTCATACAGCAGATAGGCTATACATAGCTCCTAATAAAGCAGTCTCATGCTAATGACCTCCAACATCAAACTTTAACTGGTGAGGAACTATTTATACAGTCAGACAGACACTTCCAAAGTCAAGGGTGGAAATTCACCTGTTAATAATGAGGTAGACTTGGATGGGGTGAATTGTAGCCTATGATAAAGACATGTACAAATTCTTGCTATGATTTGAAAGATTTAGGCCTATCTACTGTATATCATATAATTATAATAGCCCTATCTATATCATAGATAATTTTCAACATACCACCTGCAGCATATTTCACTTCATCTCCTGAATAGCTCAGTGTTGATCAAAGTCATATTCTATGCTGAGAGCTACGGGACTGGAACCGTTTGCCTACAGAGCATCACCTTGACCGAATAATAAAGCCTCTCTTCTCCCCCAGTGTCTCACGTGCCTGGCCTGGCTAGAGCTCACAGCTGGAGAGAACCCCCTCACCCGCCTGTGTCCCGCTTGGATGAGGTGTCCCGTTATAACGGGTTCCCGCCCCCAAATATGACGCATGCGTGACTCTGTAGTCTGACACGCAGGTAAGACGACACCCGGCGCCATATTGGGACAAAACGGAAGTGTGTGTGATAGAGAGAGATAGAGAGAGAGAGAGAGAGAGAGAGAGAGAGAGAGAGAGAATAGCGCAGGCAGTGGAAAAGCCGCACTGTGACACAACAAGGGTGAAAGGGGAGAGAAAGACAATTTTCCGTAAAAGGCGTTACGTAGCCCAGCGAGGTTTTCATGTTTATTCCGCTAGAGAAAGAAGGGGCGGCCCCTGATCAACAAACAACAAACTCTGTCCCTTGTCCTCTCACACGGGGCTAACGGAGGAAATAGCCTACTAGAATAGACCAGAGCTTTAGGCTACTACATTGTAATAGCCTACAGTCCTGTCAGGAGAGAAGCTTTAGCCCGAACTAATAGACTGAACACTACAATAGATCAGAGGAACAGCTCGAGCGCCAAGATAACCCTGGCACAGTTGCCAGATCCCTGGCAGAAGATGGCACTGGGGCACGCGGCAAGCGAGGTGAGTGCGTGTGTGTGTGTATGTTTTGTTTGTGTGTGTGTTTGTGTGTTTGTGAAACTGTTAGAGATAGAGAGAGAGAGAGAGATGGTATTCTGGTATTCCGTTAAACATTTCAATAACCAGAATACTGCCTGTGTGAATCAGTGTTGATGTGAACAGATTAATCTATTGAATCGTCACTTTGACTGTCTCTGGGCTGCACTTCATTGATGTAAACAAACGCGTAGCACCCCAGGCCTGAGGCTGAAAGCAGATTTTACGGATAAGTTGCTGAGCCTCGGATAACAGAGAGCGAGAAAGGCGAGGGAGCGGCCACCCAACAGACTGCACGATTCAGGTTGCGGCTTTCAGCGGGCGCGTGTGTGTGTTTCCTGGATGATGCGGTTATAGCCTGGTTATAGCATGCGTGTTTAAACAGAGGTGTGAATGTCTGAAGACATCCTTTGATGTCATAATTATGCCCTACAGTACTGTACACAGACCCCCTCTCTCTATACCTCCTATATACCACCTCTCTCTCTCTCCCCCTTTCTCTGTTCTCTATCAGTCAAGCTCCATAACTAGAGGAAAAACATATTCTTGTTAAAATGTGTGTGTGTGTGTGTTCTCAGTGCTCTGTGGGAGATGAGATGAGGGAAGCTGTCAGACTGTTTCTAGGGCACAACAGAAAAACACAGAACAAAACAGAGAGAAGGTGGTGAAATGGTTCTAAAGAGAACCCAACTCACAAGGATTTCCATGTAGCCTATACACTCACTCGCTTACTCACTCACTCACTCGCTTACTCACTCACTCACTCGCTTACTCACTCACTCACTCGCTTACTCACTCACTCACTCGCTTACTCACTCACTCACTCGCTCACTCGCTTTCTCAATCATTCCTACTCACATTAGTAAGTTAACAACAGATGAATATCAGCAGCAGGTAAACTGTTGGGCCCTCAGGCAATACTGGTCCATTAGACAGCCAGCACTGCAGTGTGTCAAGTCATGTTTATTAGTCATATGTACAGGATATGCATGGTGTAATGAAATGCTGACTTGCAGGTTCCCTCTCGATAATGTGAAAACAATAAGAAATAATACAATCAAAAAATAAAGCTCAATGAAATTGTGTGTGTGAGAGAGAGAGAGAGGGTGTGAGTGAGAGAGATTTAACCATTTCACGACTGTGAGATGACAGACAGGAAGGCTGTGAGATGACAGACAGGGAGGCTGTGAGCTGACAGACAGGGAGGCTGTGAGATGACAGACAGGGAGGCTGTGAGATGACAGACAGGGAGGCTGTGAGCTGACAGACAGGGAGGCTGTGATATGACAGACAGGGAGGCTGTGAGATGACAGACAGGAAGGCTAAGAGATGACAGACAGGAAGGCTAAGAGATGACAGACAGGAAGGCTAAGAGATGACAGACAGGGAGGCTGTGAGATTACTTTTGTCTGTCATTCACTCTTTCTCTCTCTCCCTCCCTCCCTGTTTCTTTGGGATTCATTACAACTAGCAACACCAGGTAGTTAGCAATTGTGTTGATTTCTTTGGAATAAAAATAAAAACATTATTGTAACTACTGTTGTTGTTAACTAATGGTTGTTTATTGTGTTACTGCAGGATGCCCATCGACATGTTCTGGAGGATTCTATTGGAGAGGATGATTCTATGTCCTGTAACGTAAGTCTACACTCCTTCTCTCTCTCTCTCTCTCTCTCTCTCTCTCTCTCCTCTCTCTCTCTCCTCTCTCTCTCTCTCTCTCGGTCTCTCGCTCTCTCTCTCTCCCTCTCTCAATTCAATTTCAATTTAAGGGGCTTTATTGGCATGGGAAACACATGTTTACATTGCCAAAGCAAGTGAAATAGATAATAAACAAAAGTGAAATAAACAATAAAAAATGTACAGTAAAACATTACACTTACAAAAGTTCCAAAATAATAAAGACATTTCAAGTGTCATATTATGTAGATATTCAGTGTTGTAATGATGTGCAAATAGTTAAAGTACAAAAGGGGAAATAAATCAACATAAATATAGCTTGTATTTACAATGGTGTTTGTTCTTCACTGGTTGCCCTTTTCTTGTGGCAACAGGTCACAAATCTTGCGGCTGTGATGGCACACTGTGGTATTTCACCCAATCTCTCTCTCCTCTCTCTCTCTCTCTCTCTCTCTCTCTCTCCTCTCGTCTCTCTCCCTTCTCGTCCACTCCCTCTCTCTCTCCTCTCTCTCTCTCTCTCTCTCCTCTCTCTTCCTCTCTCTCTCTCTCTCTCACTCTCCTCTCTCGCTCCTCTCCTCTCTCCCTCTCTCTCTCCCCCCTCTCTCTCTCCCCCCTCTCTCTCCCTCCTCTCTCTCTCCTCCTCTCTCTCTCTCTCTCTCTCTCGTCCCTCCTCTCTCTCTCTCTCTCTCCTATCTCTCTCTCTCTCCCTGCCTCTCTCTCCTCTATCTCGCTCGCTCTCTCTCTCTTCCCCCCTCCTCTTCTTCTCTCTTCCAGCTGTATGTATAGATTTTTAAATGCAGAGGAGATGGCTTATAGATCTGCCATCTGAGAAGAGCTGAGCAGTCATTACTACTGTCCCTAGAGTCAGACACA